CCTGATGACAAGGATACTGCAGTGAAGTCGATTCTCTACCGCGGGACTTTTCTACCTTTTGGTCCTTAGAACAAGGGGAGGCGGTTTAAGTTTATCTGAAAACGAGATCGTCTTGTCTAACTCGCTGACAAGGTCACAATCATGTTCCTGATCTTCACGTCAACGGAGAAAACTGCAACGTCGGCTGCGGCTATTCAACCACAACCTTCCAACGTGCCACTTATGCCGCCAAGATACGATCGACGACGTACAGTTCGATAGCGTGCGGGTGCTCGCGCCACCGCCCAGCCTCTGGTGAGCATGGCTCTCAACGTCGTTACATGAGTCAGCTATGGCGATGATCTTTGGATGTCTGATTGCGCTCAACGACCGTTTCTGATGAAAACATAGCCAGAGGGTAAGTAATGAGGTAAGCTCAAGGTGTCAAGCTGTTGTTTGTGATCGTACGGTGTGGTTCAGGCAATATGCATGGTATTGAGCTTGAACGGCTCAGTAGCCATAGTACACAATAGGTACCTATGTCGGCAAGACTTTTTGATTGTGAACAATGTGAAGCCATTGAAATCGTGAGCTCCCACAAGCCTCTCGCACTTCCGGCCCTTTGCTGATTTTGTCGACGTCCGGAGGTGGTTGACTTGGCCTGGCAGGTTTTGCCGATCGCAACTTGACAGTTCCCCACCCAGTAACATTTGGCTCACACGACAAGGTGGGTGACGTCAACGCAGCGGCAACGATAATGTTATTTTGGAGCTATTTATGGGTCGAGTATGGAGAAGCTTACTCTCCGAGCTTGCCGTGATCGCCCGGCGCCGTCACCTGCCGTCTTTGGTATGGGAGACAGGGAGGTGGCTGGGGTCGCGTGCAACCTTTGACTGATGAACGTCTTGGGCGGGGATACAACCTCTTGGAAAATCCGAGTAGTGAACGGGGCGGACATTTGTGATAATTGAAGTTGATTTTGTAGTTCGCGACGTGTGCTGATTGGTGTGGACTTATCCGTGTCGGGTGCTTTTGTTTGAAATCATCACATGCTGTGTCGGTGCGAGGCTTTCAGTGTTCGACCAGAACATCCCTAAAAAGTTTGAGATCCCCGGAAACATTCCATTTGATATGTGTCTATGTCGAATCGATTGTGAAGAGGTATTACGGTCCCGGGGGTGCTGCCGAGAAGGCACTGGGCGCTTATTCGGAGTACATCAAGGGCGCTGCAACCACGGAACTGAATGTCTACTTTTGTTCTATTCGATTGGGCGCCTTTGAAAAAGTGGTGTACTTTGAATTTTGTTCGCAGAAGAACAGTCGCGCAGGTACATTTACTGGTGGAGTGAGAGGGTATCCGGGCCGGCGACGGCGCGGGTGCGGATGGGAATTGTGGGTCCACCCCCGTCCGCACCCCGAAATTGGCGCCGACCAGACCGGAACCTAGCACGGCGGGCGAAAACACCGAGACTTACACCAAGGCTTACATCAACACCACCTTCAATGCTTCACTCCTAATATGGACATAAAAATCCCGAAATGGCATCTTCTCATCCGATCCAAGCCGGAGCAAAACCCCCAGACAGTCCCCAAATCCAAGTCATGACGTCACCCACCATCATCACCACGCCTCGCAAGCCAGTGACGCGACCAAGACATGCTCGACACACCTCGATGGTCAAAGTCCTTACCGCAGCAAAACTTGCATAACCCGAGTTACCTTTCGTTCCCTTTGACCGCTTCAATTCTTCTTTCCCCATCACACCGCCGCCTCCATGCCCTCAACAGCCCGCCTCGCGAAACAAATCCTCTCGACCCCTCAAGCCAAATCCCTCGCCAAAAGCGCCCAAGCAAACATGTCCACCGGAACCCCCTCCGACACCGCAAAGGCACAAGCCTCCGCGTCCGCCAACGCGCCCTCCTTCGAGTCGATCGGGATCAAGAACAAAGACATTGTCCAAAAGTCAGGCGTCTCGCTGTCCGAGCAGCAGAAGGTCCTCGTCGGCAGCGTTCTCGATGTAACCCCCTTCCTCCCCAAACCAAATCGCCAAATCACTAACCACCACGGCAGCTCTTTGAGGGAAACCCCACCCTCAAACACCTCTCCCTCTGGTCCAAAACCGCCACCTTCCAGGACAACATTACCATCGCCGAGGGCTACGACAAGTTCGCCGCGCAGTGGTACGGCCTGCCCGCGCTCTTCGACCCGATCCGGATCCAGTCGCACACCGTCACGTCCGCGGGCAACCCCATCGAGTTCAAGCTCAAGAACACGTACACCGTCAAGGGCGTCAAGAGCGAGCAGACGATGGAGAGCACCGTGCAGATCGAGGTCGGCGCCGACGGCAAGATCGCCAAGGTCAGCGACAAGTGGGACAACGAGTTGCCCGAGGGGGCATTTTCGCAGGTACGTGACGCTTTTCGGGAGTCGTATTCAAAGGCGTTGTGGACGGCGTTGTGGTTGTGGAAGGAGGGCGTCGTGGCTTTGTTTTGTCGGGTGATGTTGTTGCCGCCCTTCTGGGTAAGGGGGTTTTTCGATGCCGGGCGTGGATGTGTGCTAACGGGTTCGTAGGCACTGCGGAAGCTGAATGCTGTTACGGTGCCGACGTTGGTCAAGGTTCCCAAGACGGAGGAGGAGGACCAGAAGATGAAGGCCGAGAGGGAGAAGAGGTCCCAGTAAAATGTATGATGTGTCATTGCTAGCCCAGTATTATGATGGCTCGCTATCTCGCATTGTAAAATAGCGTAATTGCAGAAAAACACGCATGTCTAATGATGAAGCTGGTCCTTATCGCGGCACTTGTGACAGGCGACCAGTTATCCGGGAAATTGCCAGTAACGGATCTGCTGATGGCTGGTTCATGTTTCTGAACATTGATGGGTAGAGGCCTCCTCATCAACGCAACGATTGTCATGCGGCTCAGCAAATTGATCCACTATGCATCATCAATTCATTGGCCGAAAGTAGCAGCCTGCTAATGGGTATCTATCGTCGTCACAAATTCGCATTCCTTTCGCCTGGAATCAACGCCAATAAGCCTTCTGCGACCCAAGAGAATCGAAGCTCCTGGGTGAAGGTCCGTAAACAGCCGAACGCAAATAGCAGAGTGAATCGGCTTTAATAATATCTCGAGCCTCTCCACCATCTCGAGTAGGTGCTGTGATCTGAAGTCCGGCATTAGCTTCGGTCTGGATTTGGTATATTCGGGCGATGACAAACCTCTTTGAGTGCTGATGCCCAGTTGATCCGCTACGTTCACATAGCCTTCATACGTCGCCTGGCCTTTCTTCTTGACGGTCTTCACCATGTCGCCAGTGTCGTTCTCCCACACGCTGCGACAGTATGGGCACGTCACGTTCGAACCGCTCCTACGCTTCGTCGCAGCCCAGGTATCAAAGCACTCCTTGTGGATGTTCTGACCGCAAGCAGCGCGGCAATAGACGACTGCCTCGCCACCCTCAGCCTCGAGTTCGCAGAAGCAAATGGGGCAGTCGCCTTCGACGGGCTTGCGGTTCTTATCCTGTGTAGCATCGTAGGGCTTATCGATGGGCGGGGCGTTGGCGAAGATCTCCTCGAGTTCTGTGGTGAGCAGGGCAAGTTGGTAGGTGTGCTCGAATTTCGCGCGGAGGACTCGGGACATGACCTGCAACTGTTAGGGCTGCTTGCGACATAGGGGTGGAGAACTGTGTACATAAAGCCAGTGCTTGCATTGGTTGCCGGCAAGGAAGTGAGGACAGGTGCACGTGGGACGCTGGGCGATCTTGACGGTGTAGATGTTGCCCGTGGACCCCGTCAACTCGACCTCCTCCTCTGGAACTTCATCGGTGCCGCATCTTCGTCGCTCGAGTACATAGAATCTGCGATCACAAGTCAGCAGGATCGTACGGAGTCGTGTCCGACGGAAATCACCTCTGCGTTAGAGCTCTGTTGTAGACGTCGCTGAAGTTTGAGGGCGGCCTGGGGCGGAAGCGGCGCAATCGCTTTTCGGCGTTGGGATCCTTCTTCGGTTTCTTCTTCTCAGGGGACCCATCGTTGGCAGCGGCAGCTTTCCGCTTTCCCAACGGTGAAGGTGTCGGAGTGGACACTGGGAAGGTGTTCCTGGAGGCGCTTTGGGGAGTCCGATAAGGCGGTGTGTATGTCGGCGTGTATCCGTAGCTGTTGCTTGCCGATGGCGGGGTCGCAGTGGGGGCACCCATGGTGACCGATCGCGATGACGATGTCTTCAGTAGGGACGAGAGGAATGTAAGCGAAGAGGAGGAATGTTCTGGGAACGCAGCAGTGAGGCAGATAGCTCGAATTGGAAGTTATTCTGAAGGAGGGGAAGCTGGGAAGTGGCTTTTTGGAAAGATCATTCGCCGCAAGCAGAGAAAGATAAGAACTGCAGGAGCTCCGATTAAACTTTGGATCGCAAGCGGCAGTTGCCCCCCTTTTCCACGCCTTCCGGGTTCTCCACGCCTCCCAAGCTCAATGACGAGCTCCAACGCACGGGCCTTGCTTGTCTCATGCACGGGCCTTCGAATGCGACCTTGACGCGGGATCACGAGCTACTCCACGTGACCCGGATGCTGTTCGCCCGAATCCTAGAGAGAAGTGGGTCGTAGAAGCCGGTGCTGGTCCTCCTGAGGTCGCGACGGAAAACCCGCTCCTTTCCGCTGCACATCCTCCACCTAGGTACAGACGCGAACATTGATGCGCGGGTCGCTGACCGCTCAGACCGCCAACGACAATGGTCACTCATCAACGATAGCCAGGCGGCTTACTTCCGCCTCACATGGCGTCTCTGGGGCATGCTACGGCGGAGTCTGTCCCGTCAAGCTCACCTTGAACCCCAGATGCAGTACCCGTCAACGCGAGAGGAGTCTTTTTCGCTGACCGCAGGAATATCTGTATATAGAACTTGACTGTTCGATCTTGAATTCAAAATGTTATTACACGTCAGAGCCGAGCTGGGTGTCATTGAAGACAACCACTGTCCCTTTTCGTGCGACCCATTCTCCTCAAGGTGGCCAGCGACGCAGCTATGGAGGCACCAAGGCCTAACATGAACGACAGCATCTCCAAGATCCTCCAGTCCCTTACTTTGGACGAGAAATGCACCTTCCTATCCGGCAAGAACATGTGGGAAACCGCAGATATCCCTCGCCTAGGCATCCACAGCCTCAAGACAAGCGACGGTCCGGCTGGCGTCCGCGGCTCACGATGGACTGACGGGACTCACACCACATACATCCCCTGCGGCATCTCTCTTGCAGCCACCTTCGACCCAGATCTCATCCAACGAGTCGGAAAGATCCTCGGTGCCGAGGCCAAGACCAAAGGAGCCCATGTCTTGCTTGCACCGACCATGAACATCAGCCGCTCGCCCTTTGGTGGCCGCAACTTTGAAAACTTTGGCGAAGACCCGTATCTCACAGGCGTCATGGCTAGCAGTTACATCGAGGGGGTGCAGAGTGAGGGCGTGGGAGCTTGTATGAAACACTATGTCGCCAACGACATGGAGACGAGACGCTTCAACATGGACGAGCAGATTGACGAGCGGACGCTGAGAGAGATCTACCTCAAACCGTTCGACATGGCGTTGAAAGCGGATCCCTGGACTGCCATGACAGCATATCCCAAGATCAACGGCGAACATGCTGACACCAGCCGCTTTCTGGTTCATGATATCTTGCGACGGGAGTGGGGATACGATGGGCTGGTGATGAGCGACTGGGGAGGATTGAACTCGACCATCGACAGCATCCGCGCCACCACAGACCTTGAAATGCCAGGGCCTCCGCTTCGTTACGGGAAAGCTTTGCTGAAAGCCGTCGAGTCTGGTGCTGTCTCCGAAGAAGAACACATCAACCCCTCTGTCGAAAGACTCCTTCGTCTCCTCGCACGAGCTCAGCTACTCGACAGCCCACAACATAACGGCACAAACGGCATCCATGCGGGTACAGAAGGCAACGAAGGCGAGTCGGACACTCCCGAATCCCGCCAAACGGCCAGAGAAGCAGCCTCCCAAGGCATAGTCCTCCTCAAGAACATCGGCATCCTCCCTCTCAAGCCCTCTAAGCTCCGCTCCCTTGCCATTATCGGTCCCAACGCCAAAACCCCGACAACAGGCGGCACCGGCAGCGCCATCGTGAACCCTTACTACATCACCACACCCTTTGATTCTATTAGCGACGCCGCCAAGTCTGCCAATCCAGATATCCAAATCACCCACCACCGCGGCGTTTTCACGCACCTCCAACCACCCCTAATCGGTGACTGCCTTACAAACCCAACCACAGGCTCCCCCGGCCTCCGCGTCGACTTCTTCGCAGGCAACACCTTCTCCGGCGACATCATCTCCTCTTCAGACTGGCACAACTCCCTCGTCTACTTCATGTCTGACGGCGACGTGCCCCCCTCCCTGCGCGGAACAACCTACAGCTACAAAGCAACCGGCCTCCTCCGCCCCAGCGTCACAGGGACCTACGACTTCAGCCTCTCCAACACCGGTAAAGCGAAGCTCTTCATCGACGACGAGCTGCTCATCGATAACTCGGACTGGACGCAGATCAGCGGCAACTTCATGAACTGCGGCAGCGTCGAGGTGTTTGCGAGCAGGGAGCTGGAGGCGGGCAAGACGTACCGCCTCCGCGTCGACAATGTCGTCGTGCCGCCACCGACAAGACCCCATGACAACACCCTCTTTCACAAGATCTCGGGCGTTCGCGTGGGAATGCTCTTCCGGCATGACGAGGAGCAGATGTTTCGCGACGCGGTCGCTGCGGCGGAGGGCGCTGATGCGGTTGTGCTTGTTGTGGGGCATAACAACGACACGGAGCGCGAAGGATCGGATCGCACTTCGCTGTCGCTGCCGCGGAGGACGGACGAGCTGGTTGCTGCGGTCGCGGCTGTTAACCCGAACGTGGTCGTGTTGACGCAGTCTGCGTGTGCTGTAGCCATGCCGTGGGTTGATGGACCCGCTGCGATTGTGCATGCGTGGTATCAAGGGCAGGAGTGTGGAAACGCCATTGCGGACGTGATCTTCGGCAAGGTCAATCCTTCCGGGAAGCTGCCGCTGACGTTTCCTAAGAGGATCGAGGACCATGGATCGCACAAGTGGTTTCCTGGTGATGCGGAGAATGATTATGCTGAGTACGGGGAGGGCGTGCTAGTTGGCTACCGCTGGGTCGACGAGCAAGGGACAGAGCCTTTGTGGCCTTTTGGGTATGGATTGTCCTATACCAAGTTCCAAATCATCGATGTTGCGGTCAAGGGCACCATCTCCGCCGACGGTGACCGCTCCGCTACAATCACTGCCACGGTGAAGAACATTGGCGACATCTCGGGCAGCGAGGTTCTACAAGTCTATGTCTCGTCTTCGCCCGCGATCAAAGAGCTAGGCCGTCCTTCTGCCCCGAAATCCCTTGCTGGATTCCAGAAAGTCGCGCTCCGCCCTGGAGAGTCAAAGTCTTTGGCCATACATCTTGACGCGAAGGCGGTTGCTTGGTTCGATGTCGTGGGGAAAGGGGGCCCGGGGTCTGGTGGGAAATGGAGGGTTGACCGCGGCACTTACAAATGCTACGTTGGAGTGAGTTCCCGAGACATCGTTGCTGAGGTCGAAGTCACCGTAGAATAGACAGAACCATGGGTGGCTTCCAGATCATTCTCAATTTCAGTAGAGTATCTGATACTTGGACCTCATCGTTCGCAGAATTGACAACATGCTCTCTATACTCGACCCCGGGAACGCCCACTTCTCAACCAAGGATATCGCCTTGATCTGTAGTTCATCAATATCCGGCACGGTCTCCGCTAAGACCGGCGACAACGAAGCCAACGTTAACAGCAAAATCACCGCGAGCGTCCTGCCCACACCGAATTAGCCAACCTTCAACGGCCAAAACGCAGGAACCTCCAGACTTACGAATGCAACACAATCTCCAACGACCCGCAAGACCCCTTCAACCTATACTCCACCACGTCCAAATACCCCCGACAATGCCCCAAACACCTCTTCGCATTCTCAACAACCACCTCCCCCGCCCCCGCCCCGCCCTCCAACCCACACACCTGGTGCAAAAACGGGCGGAAAATGATATCTCCCGCGGCATGGTACCTCAGCACCATAATCGCCTCGTCAACACTCAGCGTGGTGCCGCTCGCGGTATGCAGGTCGGGCTTGATCGCGGACGGGAGGAGATCGTACCACGCGCCGAGCTGGTGGCTCAGCTCCGCGGAGACGGAGGCGAAAGCGTCCGCGGTGGCGGAGTTTGTGGTTGGGGAGGCGGTGTCGTACATCACGTGGTGGATGCGGTTGAGCAGGCGGCGGGCGGAGAGGTCTGCGAGCCAGGAGAGCATGGCGGGGTCGGGCGGGTTGCCGCAGCGGGGGAAGGGGAGGTTTTCGATGACTTGGTCGATGCCGCTTCGGGGGAGGTGGTGTTCTGCTATGATGTCGCTGAGAATTCAGAGTCAGCATGTATAACTACGATGGGGCGCGGGATTGTTTGGACTTGGGACGTACCATTCGAGGACGAAGATGGCCCAGCATAGACGGGTTACGGGCTGGTGGGTGTGCGTTTCTTCCAAGGGTTGACGCATACTCCTGTGTCTAAGGACCATGTTAATAGCCTTTGATCAGGCGGTGGCAACCAGGACGACGCCTCACCGGATGGGATAGTGCTGGATGCTGGTCGACGCCATGTGAACCAACCTCCATGCCTGAAGCGGTCTCGAGAGGTAGCTGTAGTACAGCGCTGCAAGATACAATCCCTGTGGGAGCAGGATGGTATCCCCAAACGAGTTGAACCACGTCCCTAGAAGCACCTGCAACGCGGGCGTGAACATCTCCACGCCAGGTAGCCAACCATCTCGCGTCAGATCAGGCGTGTCGACAGCCCCCCGCCCCAGAGCCAACACGACCAGGACCAAAGCAGCGCGCAGGTCAGCTTGCAAGGGGTTCCCCACGACATCTCGATAGATGTGCTCAAAGTCGCCCTTGTCGAGGATGGGATGCTGCGGGTTCACGAGGTCGAAGAAGTTATCCACCAGTGACGATGCTTCCTCCGCATCGATCTCGGGGAAGACGATCTGGCTCAGGGGTATCGGGGTCAGGGACAGAGGCTCGGGGAGGGTCCTCTTGCTCTCCACGCGGAAGAACACGTCGGAGGGATACTCGCCGAGCAGAGCCTTGGCGGAACGCGATTGTAGGAGGCTCCCTGTGGTGGTGGAGTGGGACATGGGAATCGCCATGGGCGCGGTGATGCATGATTCCGTGGAGGGCGCCACCGGGGTCGTGGCGGCGGAGGGGATGTGGAGCGATGGGTCAACTGAGAGAGGTCCGTAGCCTGGGGACGGGAAGGCGGATTCTGGGGATGCATTCTGGGATGGCGGTGGGTATGTGTGTGAGGTCGGGGTGTAGTGGTCATCTGGCTGAGGGTGAGATATTGGCGGGAGGGACGCGAAGTGTGTGAAGGACTGTTCGAGGCGTTGCAAGCGGGAGAGGATCTCGGCTGTCTGGTCTACGGAGATTGGTCTTCTGGGCCATGTAGCACGTCAGCCTCACAGCGGGAAAGGTCCCCTTTCTTCCGTGGGTGACTTGCTTGCGTAGGGGTTCTTACTTGTGTTCTTCCGTGGCGGGATACTCGCACTCCGAGTTATTGGCTTCTTCGCAGAGGGTGCAGACGGGTTGCCTGCCGTCGCATTTGCGTTTCCTGAATGCCGCGGATATTAGTTCTCAGTTCCGCCGAATCACCCAAAGAGTTTACTGATTAGCAGCGGAAGGATATGTGTGTATAGGGCGGTATCGAGCATCCGCCCGCGCATGGTGTTGCAGCGGGTGGCAGCGGGATCAGGTTCCGCCAGTGTAAACTCACCTTCGACGGCAGTAGTGGCAGGCAACGGCGGTTCTCTTCCGCTTCTGAGTCTCCATGATAATATTCCTATTCGATATGGGGCACCTGGGAGTGATGTATTGTCTGAGAAGAGATGACTCCCGGGGTTTGATGGGAGGATGGCAGTTCTTGTGCGGCGGAAGGGCGGCGCTTCTCGGGCGGGATCGGCGGGATCACTTCCGCCTTTTTCGCAGCTTAATGTGGAGCATTTCCCGGTCTAGTCCCGGTAAATGGTTGACTTTGTGGCGCCCGGATGATTGCAAAGATCACCTAGTGAACATGACTTGGGACGAAGGCCGTCAGTCAGAAGGGCGTGACTCATTTAGGTAATTGCCTTTTTGGGACGTTTGAAAGACAATATCAAGATCCAAAAAAGGTCTACCTATTCCGTAAACGGGCTCTGAAAGATCTTTCTAACTTGACATAATATTGAGCTAGTGACAAACGCGCCTTGTGTCCAAGTCGGACTGCCAATTGCCCCCGAACGCCGGTATCCACACAGATGAGTCTAAACACGCACCATCGACATCTCGATATGAGATATCAAATTAACAAACCTGAACATTTCGCTCAGGGTGGGAAAAGAATACCGCATTCCCCAACGAGTCAAATTTCACGAGATGGTCCTTGCAGCTGGCTTCATCACACCCTCCTCGATCGTTTGAACAGCCTTCTGCCCATCAAACAAAACGTCAATCTCCTCCAATGTCAGGCCCTTGGTCTCCACCCACTGAAAGTAGATGTACACCCAAATTAAGATGTTCCACGACGCATTGACGATGTAAGTCTTCCACCCAATACTCTCCATCAGATACGGAAACGCCATCGAGACCAAAACACCACACGACTTGATAAGAATTCCCTGCATGGCGATGCCGTTCGCGCGCATGTTATATGAGAGAACTTCGGGTGCGTACATAGCTGTGAGAGGCGTGATACCGAAGGCATATGCACCCAGGAAGAGAAAGATGCATGCGATAGTCCCGTAGGTGCCAGCTTTGTCGCCCGAGGTACCGTACTTGGCTGTGAGACCGGCGAGAAGGTAGAAGAAGATTGAGCAGGTACCCAAACTTCCGAGAGCGAGTACTCTTCGGCCCAATTTCTCCGCTAGTGTTGATCCGGTGATTGCAACAACAAGTTGCCAGGAGGACAGGATGACATTGATCTGGAGTTGCGTGGTTGGATCGGTGACGCCAGCCTGGCTCAGCATTCGGCCAAAGTAGTACCTAAGGTCTCCAGTCAGGTCATATCTCAGGCAATTATTGAATGAATATGGCGAAGTGTAAACTTACGTGATGACATTCGACCCCGTCAACATCGCCAAAGGCGCGACTGATAAGGCCAACAATAACCGCTTACGGTTGGGCTTGCGGACCATTCCACGGATTCCCAAAGCGTTCCCCTCTCGCTTCTCGTATTCCAATGTCTCGATGATTTCTCTGAATTGCATTTGGACGTTTTCGTCGCCGGTTTCGGCCCCGTTGACCTTTGCCAGCACTTGAAGGGCTTCGTCTCTCCGGTCGCGAAAGGCAAGCCAACGGGGAGACTCTGGGGCCAGATAGATAAGAATCATGACGAATAGAGGAGGTGCAGCTTGGAGGATCGAGGGGACTCTCCAAGCCCAATCCGATGGCTCAAGCGCGGAGGACTAGAAGGAAAGTCAGTCAACTCGACAGAGAGATGTGCGACCTGAGTATACTCACACCATAAGAAATCCCGGCTGCAAGCAGGGCTCCAACAGCCCAGCAAGAGAAGTAGAGACCCAATGCCAGAGATCGAATGGACGGCGCAGTCGTTTCCGCCACATACGTTCCTGCGGCAGTCTGGCCCAGACCGACTCCAATGCCAATAATGAGACGTCCAGCAATGAACATGGCGATGTTTACTGCTGCACCTGCGATAATAGCGCCAATAATGTTGACGATACCGGATGCATAGAGGCCCATCTTTCGGCCTTTCCAGTCGATGAGCATCCCGGTGAATGGGCCGATGAGGATTGCCCCTAGGAAGGTGGCGCATGTGTTGACGGCTGTCGTTGCCGTTGTGAGCTCAAAGTACTTTTGGTACGAGGCCATGACGTTGAGGGAACCCATGAGAGAGCCGTCGTAGGCTATGGTGACGGAGTCGACGACGCATACCGACACCACCAGCGCTGTGCTCAGGCTCATGCGGAGGGAGGCTAACTTGGATGGGGACATGGTGAAGGAGAGAGTGAGTCAAGATAAGGAGTATTGAGAATGGACAGGCTTCCGAGGATGCAGAATGCCAGCCTGCCTTATATGGAGTGTTCTTCCGCTGTGAAAACACCCGTTCCTCCGACCTTCAGAGGGTCTGAAGCCAGTACGACGCCTTCTATCGGTCGCCAAGATAAGAGAACTCCCTCAGCGAATGCGTATAAGCTGATTGGCGATGATTCTCCGGGGTATCGGGTGTCCACACGAGGTGATCTGGGGAAGTGTTATCTGTGGGGAGAGTTTTGGGAACGGTGAAAAGTCTGCTGCTACTGGTTGGCTTCGAGGGCGGATATCCCGCCACAAACTCCGCTGTAATTTTGGGCTAGCTCGTAAAGTTACCAAAAGAGATAACTTGAATCGTACTATCACGATCATATCGCTATACTCCTTTACCTCATTCCTTTCTCTGCTCGCGTCGGCTTCCTCCCTTGATCCGGCTGTGCTCTGGCCCTTTCGCCAGTCTTGTCCCTCTCCTTAAATCATCTACCTTATCTCTTGATACTCATGATTCCTTGAAGACAATCTTCAGTATGCATATGATCTTCCAAATACAATGTTGGCTGCCTTTGGAATGTACCTAAACAGTAGCATTAGACATACTGCCTAGTGTTGCGCGGCAGGCACTTCTTGATCTCTACGTACACGTTCTTTCAAATGCTACCATTATCTCACGCTAAATATTCCGATTCTAATCTTGTTCTCGTGTCTCTACACCTCCAGCCCACTGAGTAACCCTTGACCGCGTCTCGCAGTTCGGATGCTGTCGAGGGTTCCGAGACTCAAAGTAAGCCAATATTCAATTAGAAACTTGAGCTATTGAGACACGGGCTTGTCTGTTGGTGCTTCTGCATCAACTGTCAAGACATCACCGACAAAGTTCGCCGGCTCTCTTCGTCTCCGGTCAACCTTCAACTCAAACACGTCGAGGCGTTGATACCCGCCAACCACATCGTGATACTGCTTGCCCTCGATACAATCTTGTACATCCATATCTGCATACAAAATCCCCTCTGTAGCCTGCAGATATTCGGTCGGCTTCTGCTCCTGAGTCTCCGCGTCCACAGTAAACCCCTGCAACAACGACCCTGCAGGATCCAAGAACATCGTCGCACCGCGCTGCGAGTTCTCAAGAGCCGACGTGACAACTTCAGTCTGACTGGCCCCTGATGATATGATCTCGATGGCGTCTTTCCCAAGAACGCCAGAGCACAGAACTCCGAAACACTTGGCTTCAAAGCAGTGCGCCGCCGCTCTCGTTCTGTTGGCGGCGACATTGTCGTAGTTCGCCCCCTTGGCCACGCTCGACCCCCCGTCACTCCCGCCAGCCTCCGGTGTCGGTATCCTCGTAGGCCAGATTGCAGGCCACGTCGAGATGTGAATCTGCTCACCCTGAGACATCAACGCATACCTCGCAAGCGGGTTCGTGTTTTCCCCGCAGATCAGGTTCCCAATCTTTCCGTACTTCGTCTCTGCCAGCCGGAGCCCGTGACCATCTCCGGGCGCCCACGTCAACTTCTCGAAAAAGGTTGGCATCAACTTCCTATGGTGTACCAGAACTTCTCCGTCGGCGTCAATGATGACGTTGGAGTTGTAAAGAGTCGCGCTGCTCGATCGCACCTTCTCTGAAATGCCGACGCTGACCATAATGTCGAGCTTCTTTGCTGCAGACCGGATAGCTGAGACCTCCTCCCCGTCGACGTAGACGGACTCTAGCGCCATGCATTTGAAGAGGTCATGATTCTCGGTTGGCGGCCGCAGAGCTGACCAGATTGGGAATGCTGGGATGTAGGTCTCGGGAAAGACGACGAGGTTGGCCTTGTTCCTGGCAGCTTCATGAATGAGTGAGATGGCCTTATCGGTTGTGCGGCGGGCGGAGAGGAAGATGGGTGATACGTGACATGCTGCGATGCGGATTGGAGTGGCCATTGCGATGCAAAGATGATGTCGAAATCGCTGGCTGCGAAAGATTCTGGGTTCTCTTCCAATCGCGCAAGTGGTTGACAATTGTCTATGATTACATGGAATGAGTTGACTAGATTTTGGGGTTTGATAAGGCGCTGTTGACAGATTCGGAGCTTCTTCTGACTCCGAATTCGGGGCGGCATCTGATCCGCCGCTTCCACTGCCCACGTCATTCGCGTCCCGCCGTTTCAAACACCGAAAACCCCAACGCAAGATAGTCAAGTTCACCAAACCAATTGAGCCGTACAATCTCGTTCATATCTCAAAGACTTTGCCCGATTTGTTTGGTGATTACGACTTCTTCCCACCAACCTCTCCTCTGAAAAGATAAGGAGGCTTAGACCGCAAGCATGCTGCGGGGCCTCGCCAGGCGATGCAAGAGTTGGACCAAAGGCATACGGTTTGGAGAGCAGCTGAACTACCACTTTCAAGATGCTTCTACATGAGCAAGTTGCCAACATGGAACTTTCCATTGCTCCAACGGACGGACGAGAACGCAATGCATGCCGGTCAATCGATCCCGCCGGCTTCTTCATTCGACATCCACCTGTCCCTCATCTCCTCGATAACTTCATCACAGGCGAGGAACATCTCTTCCAAACCATACACATGGGTGCTGCGGTGATCGACAAGGATGAGTGGCTTCTGGTCATAGACGGGCTAGTTGAGCGGCCTTTCGCGTTGACCCTCGACCAACTGCGTCAACTCCCGCGACGTTCCGTGACAGCTTTCCATGAATGCTACGGCAGCCCTCTGAAGCCACCGACAGAAGCCGTTTGGCGCATTGGGAATGTCGTCTGGACCGGGGTTCCGCTGTCATTCCTCTTGGACCTGGCGCGGCC